CTATAAGTCACTCCCAGAGCCTAAGGGCTATGGTGCCGAGCTGGCAAAAGACCTCGACACAATATAAGTCGTAGTCGCCTCTTCGGCATGGGCAGATAAGTCCTACTCATCTCCTCGGCATAGACCTCATAAGACTTAGTCACTTTAGCATGGGAAACCTAAGACCTAGTCGCTTCAGCATAAGCAACCAAGAACCCAGTTGCTTCAGCATGGGCAAATAAGTAGCTCATAAGCAGATAGGTCGGGCATATACCCTATAATGTCTGTTCACTTCAGCGTACATTGAGATCGGGTTATTCCTACTCGGGAGTTCGGGAGTAATCCATACTTAGAAAAATTTTGCACAACAAGGATTTTCGAAACTACTACATTGTATTAACGAAAGGAAGTTCAAAGTACATGTAGAAAAAAAAAGTTACATTTACTCAACCGAGCTCGAAGGCTCGGGACATCATATATGTACCGGGGGTCCAAGAAAAGAGGCAGATGAACATCAGTCGATATGGGGCTCGTCCCCAACAGTAGCTCCGATAGACTGGTCGGTCTCCATACAATCCTTGGCAACAACATCTCCATCTCCCTCCTCTGTTGTCTCATCACCGAGGAGGTCGTCCTCACTCTCCTCCTCGGAGTCTAGGTCCTTAGCAGCCTCCCCGACCATCTCCTCGGTAACTTTGGATGTAGTGATAGCGTTGAGGTCGATCTTGGGGAACTCATGCCGTGTCAGCCACCTACTGAGCATGATGCCCTTGCGATAGGCCGTTGTGCTAGTCTCAATCAGTAATTTGCGCTACTCCTCCAAAGACTTATACTTCTCAACGACTTGAAACTTAGTGTCCTTGATCGGGTCATCGAAGATCTCTGTGTGCTCCTTCATGAGCTCCTCGAGGTTCTCCTTTTCCCTCTAGAGGGCCTCCCTTTCCTCCTTGAACTTCTTCTTCTCCTCCCTCAGCAGCATGATTAGCTCCTTTTGAGCTCACACATCCTTCTCCAGCTTATGAATCTCGCCACGAGCTAAGTCCAGTTCGTGCTAAATACTCCTGGAGGTTTCTTCAGCCTGGAGGGCTTGTTTCAGCTGCACCTCAGATTGGCAAGCTAGAGTATGAATTGTGGAGTTCACCTACCAAGGAAGAAACAAAATCTAAGTACCAAGAAAGAGCAATAGAGAGTACAATCCAAGGATCAGATATGTAACACCATACAGTGAGTTACCGCTCTGGCCCCAAACTGAGCCATTGGTAGATCGGCCCATTGCACGACCTCCTCAGCGAAGACCGCATCCTTACTCTTGAGGAGACTGAACTTCAGGGTCAAAATGCTTTGAGTTGTCGGGGAGGAGTCATCCCTCGAAGGGGTGGCCGGTTGAGTGGACTAGGGCTCAGATACTAGAGTCTCCCCAGGTAGGTGAGGTGGAGAAGCCCTACCTTGGTCTTCCTTGACCAAGTCAATAACGGGAGGATGCTCGGGGACAGCGGTGTCGACGTTCGATGTGGTGGCAGCCTCATGGGGACGGGCCTTCTTGGAGGCCTTCCTCCTGTTCCCCCTCTTCATGCTTCCGAAGAGCTCGGTAGCAGGGATATCATCCATGGCTCCTACAAAAGGTAACAAACAGATAAGTCGCAAGATTAAGACAAGCTGCGAAAAAGAAAACAAGTGTGTGCACCAAGATGGCAACCTACCAAGAGGACTTAGCCTAGCTTGTACAAGCTTCTCTTCGGACACAAAGTTTTTGAACTTCGACCCGAGCTTCACCCAAGATCGGACTTCCTCCTGTGTCTCTTAGTCCAACCTGATGTCGGGGTCCTGAATGGCAGTTCTCCAATGAGTTGGAAATGGCCACCCCGTAGTATTACGAACTACGAAGTAGCACTTCTTCCAGGTTGGGACTTTATTGGGGAGGTCGTGCAAAATTTTGTAGCCAGGACAAGGAGACATGTAATAACTTCACCTATGCTCCAAGAGGACACAAGCAGAGTTCTTTTTGATGGAGTAGATCAAAGAAAAAATGTCGAGTGTCAAAGGCCGGTAATAATCGTGAAAAAAGGAGATGGTACCTACAATGTTACGGATCGATTTGGGGTGGAGCTGGTCTATGGCGATGTCAAAAAATTTGAAAATTTGATGACCTCGATGATAAAAGGGTGAAGTGGAAAACGCAAACCAGCTATGAGCTACTCCTCGAACACCACGATCTCGTTATGACCGTGGTTCCAAGGAAACTTTCCTAAAGGGATACTATACACAAGGTTGTCGGGCAGGTTGTACCGAGCTACCAGATACGGGAGTCTGTTAGCCGTCAATATAGAAGGACCGAAGCTATCTGGTCCCCGAGCCTGGTTCGAAGTGGAGGCCCCCTTGCCGGAAGCCCCGCGCTCCAACTGAAGTGAGTCCGCCTCGGACGGGTTGGAGTCCGAACCCCGCACTAAGGCATTCACCTTGGTAGGGTGAGACTCTACAGCCTACGCCGAGGTGCCCACCTCGGCCTAGGCGGACTCTTCACTCTCGTCAAAAAGACTACTTAAGCTAACGCTAGACATACCAAACTAGAGGAAAAAGACAACAGGAAATGGAAACAAAGAGGGGCGAACTCACCAAGAAGGCCGAAGGAAGCAAAAAGACCTCGGATGCAAAGGCAACTAACACCGACCTAGAAGACTGAAGCGCGACCTCAACAAACTCGAGCACGCAATATGTGGCGAGAAAAATGGACCCCTCTGGCCCTTATTTATAGCCACCATGACTGGGACTCAGCGGTTGAGATCTACACGATCCGACGACTCCCATGAAAACTAGTTGCATGCCACTTGAGATCAAAATCAGTTGAGTGCCCGTATGTACCCGGTACGCGATCTGGGGTATTCCCTGGTCGAGCCAAACGGATCATGAAGGTCCAATCGAAGATCCGCCCTCCGAACCGCCTGGAAGACGTGTCAAATCCACCTAGGATCGCCATGAACTCCCTGCACTAGGTCAGGGCCCCAGGCACGGGGAGTGGGGGCAATTGATGAGGGGTGATTTGGCCCGACCTAATAAGTAAAGGACACGTGGATGTGGCCTGCCAGCCAGACGACAAATCAGCATGTAGTGCCACACCAGTAGATCGCAGGGTGTCGGGTGCTCGGTCACTTCAGGGTTGGAGCACCTCGGTACCCACATATGCCGAGGTGCCATATAATTGAATCTAAAAGCTCGCCAGTTGTTTCTGAACTTCTCGGGATTACGCCGCGTAACTATAGGCATTATCCTCACCCGCCCGAATTGGAGGGAAACGGTGAGCCTTATTAATTGATACATTACCCTCATTCCAAAGTGGAACGGATCCCTTCGTCATGGGCCGAGGATTCTGGGAACGTTTCACGAGACCCACGACAGCCTAGCCATATAAGGGCATCAACCCCCAAGACTCAATTATGCGCGATTACTTGCTCACTAGCTTACTTGCATTCAAGCTTTCAACTCACAACCAGAGTACAATACTAAAGCATTGGAGTGACCTCGCCGGATTAGCCACTCCAGGTTCTCTGATCCTTTGTCTTGCAGCTTGGTCCAGCTCGCTACACGACTAGTGTCCAAATAATCTTCCAGCTAGGAGCTTCCAAATGGCGTACCATCATCACTCATTAACAGTGAAAAAAAAATGCATCTAAAAAATTGATGGAACATTTGCACCACTCCCAAACAAACAACCCTCCTCAATTCTCTCATATAAAGTTGGAACAACATTCATCTTACATATTACCTCACTCCCAAACAAATAACCCTCCTCTGACTCCGACCTTCATTCTCGGTGTTGACGAGGGCCCATATGTATGAACACTGATTTGTCCACACATGATTGGTTACATAGCCCGTGTGCGTGTGTTGTACATAGGAATTCACTTTTGTTAGACAATTTCGTAGCACAGGGCTAAAACCAAGAATCATGGCCTTGGATTTATCGCGTAACCCTCAAGACACCACATCATCTAATTCAAGGTGGGGCTATATCAATACATCAAAGGTTTTTATGTCGTTGTTGCAGGGTAGGGTTACAACACTGTCATAGCAAATATAGCTTGTATACTAATTAATTAGCCTTTTCTTGGCATTCCTTATTTTGAGGATTTATCTACAGTTAAAAACTCGGTGTTCATAGGGGGATAAGTTCTTATGTTAAGGATTTAATTTCAAGCCTTTTCAGTTAAAATGTCTTTATGAACACTGTAAAAAGGAAATTAAATCCTTAAGATAAAGAATGCCAAATGCAGTTTTAGTGGAGCAAGGCAGGCAGTGCTGTACCAAATCAGCCCCCACAACATGCCACAACACATCCTTGCCATGTATTAGAAACATCTCCCGACGATGATGTCATCATCGAGAGATATTTTCAATACACGGCGGATGTGAAGTAAAAATACAACAAAATTACACTCATCATCAGCTTATATCCACTCCCATGAATTTAATTACACCACTTGCAGTAGTGCAACCAGCTGAAGCATCCTTAATTAGCGGTACGTACGCAAATAGCTATTTATGATGAAAATAATTGGGTGATCAAATGTTAAAGCTTGAGGTGGAGTACTTCATCAAAAACGATATGGGTATTGTAAGTACTATGCCAAATTCACATTCGATGAATGCCGACAGTCGACAGCTTACGGGTGCAAGCCACAAAGGTCAGTGTCACTTGTCATCGACGACCCACATTCCAGTTTCCAGATTAAGATCCGCACACATTGAACATGAGTTACATGCGAAATACAATGTAGAGAGTTGTGAGCTTTCAATTTCATCTGTTTGGCTCTCATCTCTCAATGCCGATAAACAGGATATTCCTCATTCCTGATCAAGTGGACAGAACCTCAGAAGTAAGAACCCCACTCCGATGCTAGCTACAATCATACGAAAACCCTCCGGTGATAAGGGCTACATTAGATTAGATAGATTAATTAGCCCGCCCCACGCAACCTTATATAAACCCCACTGAGGCCAACTCCATCATCCAGCCAAACTTACGCACAGAAACAAAAGCACAAACAGCTGCTACATCATCAAATTCTCTCATCGATCGAGATGTCTGGGGTGTGGGTGTTCAAGAACGGTGTGGTTCGCCTGGTTGAAAACCCGACAGTGGAGTCTTTAGACGGAAGTGGTCGACAAACGTCGACCACCCGGCGGAAGGTTTTGGTTCACACGCCAACTAACGAGGTAATGACTTCTTACGCCGTTCTTGAGCAGAAGCTGTTGGAGCTGGGATGGGAGAGGTATTACGATGACCCTGACCTGTTCCAGTTCCACAAGCCATCAACGATTCACCTCATTTCTCTCCCCAGGGATTTCATCAGATTCAGGTCCATGCACATGTTTGACATTGTTGTCAAGAATCGTAAGAAATTCGAAGTTAGAGATGTTATGTGATGTAACCCGTCGTCGATCGATTGGTCTCGCTCGCTTCTGTGTGCTTGCGCTTGGTTATGTGCGTGTGTCCTTATATATAGCTAGCTTGATCATGCTGATTGCTGGTCGGTTTATTGTATCGGCTAGCTGGTGCTGGTTCTCTCCTTCTTTCTCTTTCTCTTTGTGGATTGTGGGTCTCTCTCCTTTTTAGTTTGAAGGTGTAACACGGGTTAAAGGAGAGGAGACTCATCAAGACTTCTTTTGGGGTGTGAGTTGATTGTTTGGTCTGTTGCATGATAGTTTATTCAGCAATTAATGAAATATGGGTTTCGTTTGTTTTGCTCGGTTTGTGTAGAAGTGTATGTACGTGGATATACAACAAGTGTAATATTCTATTATTTTTATTAATCTCATGTCTGGTTAATTACTAGGCTCTTCAATTCTTATAGTATTTTTGCAAATTAATTAAGCTACGTACCATTGCAACCAACATTTATCCCATATTTAATTAATTTTAGGTGGTGTTTGGTACAGTGGCGTTAGTTGCTGGTGTAAAAATCATGTTTTGACACATCATTTGTGAGTATTATTTCAATTAGAAAAAAAAGTTAAAAAATAACAAATTCAATATTTTTGATAAAAATAGCAATTTGTATTAATTAACCCAAAATTCAACCACAATGCAACGCCGTTGTACCATCTGTATTAAATAATGAATAATGAAATTTTTTGATGATGTGGATGAGGAGATGCTGAGGTGGAAATTACACGTGGACTGGTTCAGGCATCAGTTATTAAAAGTGCACCTGTGTCACTGTTGCTCAATTTTGGGCTTGAGACACAGAGACAGGACCCAAGATCACAGAATAGAATCGATGGGAGAGCGGGGGGCCCAACCTCCAGAGGAGGACTCTCTTCTGAGGATTCGATAGAAAAGATAGTGGAGGAAGAAGCAGCAAAAAGCATGGGTGTCACGTAAAGCCACTTTGTAGTATTGCTTAGTATTGACGTCCCTAAGCTACATGGCTATATTTTAATGCCTTTTTTGGTAAAGATTATCTTAATTCTTAGGGATAATTCTTAATGCATTCATGCATCTAATCCAAATTCCGATTCCTAAGTATGAGTTATATGACAATTAATTTTACACTTTGGGTCTACTGGCTGAACTGAAAGACTTATTGTTTTGTCTTTTAATTGATAATCATCAACCAATTTGACTATACTTCCAGAGAATCTGGATTTGCTTCTCACAAAATTGGTCCTCACACCGATCTCACAATACTTCCAACTGTTTATTGAAAACATCTCCCCACTTGTATGTTTTAATTCATGGGAAGATGTTTTTAATGCACGGCCGGAAGTGTTGGGAGTTCGGTGTGAGGAATAAATCATAACTCAGTTTCAGACATCAACTTCCTTAAAAGCTTATATTATCATCAATTCAACAACTTCAGCTGTTATCAAATGGCCCCTTAAGGTTTTGATGACAGTTGGAGTCACAGAACTAGATGCTCCATGGCTGAAGGCTGAAATTGGGTTAATTATTATACTTTTAAGTATTAAAATATTTAATTGTTTTGTCCAATTAAAACAAAAGCAATAAGTCATTCAGTTCAACCACTTCAACCATTACCAAGTAATCTCTAATGCAAATTGGAGCACTAGACTCTTTTATGTCTTACATACCAACACACAAAATTCTAGAGCTGCAACTTGGACCTGGTTCCGATCAACCCTAGAACACCCAACATCACTTGGCATGAACAGGCGCTTATTGATCTTATTCTTGTTCTAATTTTCTTTTCTGATAGCATGTATTTCATTAGTACATGTGATCTGAAGTAGAATCAGCTCATGTAATGGCAAATAGAGCCATGTGTATGAGCTCCTTTGTTTCTTTTTCCAATCCTCATATTCATCTATCTATGTTGAAGCGAGTTCAGATCAGCTACCAACATATGGCTCCAACCAACGTCCCAACAAGCCATTGCAGCCGGTACATTGGGAGCATTTTGTTGGTAGCAGATCCCTACCTTGTTTAGGAGAAGTTGAGGAGGTTGAGTTATTTGCTATCTTGATTTTTTAGTGCTTTCTACTTTCTTTGTAAAAGAAAAAAGTCCAAACCTCAACCCTAATTCTAACCTTGACACTGACAAATCTTTAGCAATTGTCTTTTTTAGGATTTGGTTTGTTTTGAGTTTTTATACCAACATACTCTACACATGGAGATCATTTTTTCAAAAAGAATATATAGAAGGTTAATTAATAAAATAGAATAAGTTTCTCCAATAAGAGAACAAGTATAAATTACATAGCCTTAGTATTTTATTTTTGTGGGTGGATAAAAACCAGAGAGAATCTAATATTTGTCTTTCAATAAAGAATAAATTTGGATTTGTTTGTATGTGCTTTTCATTTCTATGATTTTAAATATGAGAACCTACATACTGTTTTTTTATTTTTAAATATGATTTCAGTAAAGAATAAATTACATTTTTAAGATTTTATTTTAAATATGCCTCCTACATACTGTTCTGATCATGTATGCCTCAGATATTGCTTAATTGGGGCCTCAGGGGATGGTCTCTAAGGTGAATTGTTTTTCTTGTTTTGGGTTCAAAAATCAAAACGAAACAGAATAGATTGGGTTGAAAATAAATTGGGTTCTTAAAACAAAAGGCAGAAAACATGTTCTTAGTTTTATATGTATTTTTTTTTTTTGTTATAAACTAAAACATGTTCTTGAGTTTCTGGTTTAATGAACATGTTTTGATCAAGTTATTTAATATCATTCCATAAACCATATAAGTTTTACACTACAACATTTGTTTTGGTTTTAAAAACCATTATTTTGATGATGAACAGGTATTGTTTTATGAAATAAAAACTTTTTTTTTGTTTTGAAAACAAAAAACACAGTTCAATACTGTATTCTTCCTTATTGCCTTAATTAAATTAGAGTTTGGTCTCAGTTGGATTACCACGTGACACACTTTGCATCTACTACTCACAAATTGTTTTCACATCCCTCCCTACATCTCCCAATGTGTTGTGGGTAGAGATGTGAGAACAACTTATGGGTAGCAGATCCAAGCCCATGTGGCATAGGTTATAGGGAGTCAATGGATCAGTTTAAGTGGCAAACCTATGTTGACCTGACCTTATTAGATTAGGGTAATACATGGCTCAGGCTTAGTGTCAGTTGAACTCAGTTAGGTTAATTTGGGTTGGAAACCCATATCCATATCCATGCCCATTTCATCTTGAGGTCCGTTTGTTCACCGAAAAGGTGATAACTTTATAATGAGGAAATTTCACTGAAACCCACTTCACAAACCTCACAAATTTTTATTACTTTGTATACCCATAATAATTTAAAATTTCCAATATCCCCACTTATATCACCGTACCTCTGTATTGACATCAATTAATTCCCCTAGCATTATTGCTCCCAACTGTACGTTGAAATAAAAGTTTTGTATTAAGATAAATGATGAATGAGGCGATGATTGGTGAGAGTGAAACAAAGCGCCGCATTCTTCTCACTTTGAGAAGACTGAAGATCATTCTCTATTCTCTTTCAAATGTCTAGGTATAAAATGGAAGCTACTATTCTCTTTCTCTCTTTTGTGCTTTTCAGACACCCACCTTAATTTCATGAAACTAGGTATTGTTAAAGTTGTTTGTTCCTCTAGAATTTTATTGAAAGAATTTCGGCCGGATAGGAGACGACTTTAGTACAGTATTGCTTCCATTAATATTAATTACTAAATTATATGTAATAGGGTGAACAAAGCTTTTTCTTTTTCAAGCAAACAGTATTATTATATTACATGTTCCTGCAACTCCAACTCATAGATATATCATTTGTTCGGGTTATGATTGAGCTGGCCTCGGGTGTCATATGTCATTTTTATGGTTATTTTATCTCTTCGGCCACATCAGTGTCACATTATTTTTGCAGACCGACTTATCTCTTCGGCCACGTCATACTGATAAGCATGATTATTGTATGGATGAGGACAACTTCGCTAGGGATTAGGACTTATCTCGAAGACCTTGGCGGGCAACCTCATCCCGACAACCTCGGAAGTCTCATCCGACCAGGTTACGGATCTTTGTCTATAAAAAAGTACCTCCTACTCAAGGTAAGGGATCTAACTTTCGACTTCCGTATTGTTACTCTGCTCGGACCAACACCGTTCTCTACTTGTTCGGCCTGATCGCCCACTATTCTTGACTGGCTTAAGCATCAGAGTACCTATCTGGGAATAACTCCTCAGGCCTCTGGCCTCTTTCTTGGTTTCAAATCTTGGAACGCAGCTTCATCCTTCCACCTCAGCACTGCCCAGTTGATAAGATTAGCCAAATGCGACCTCGGTTCAAGAACTACCTTGAATCAAGCAACATCACCATTCACTATATAAAACCAGATTCATTCAATGCAAGGCCTGTTCGAACAGCCTTTATAGTCTTACATTAGGAATATTTCACTATGAAATAAAGTAGACAAATATAGAGATATTTCCAACACAAAGCTGTAAAGGCTGTCTGAACGGGTCTTGCAATGACTGAAGCCGAGTTCATTAGGTAATCAGTAGCACTTGACGGTTACTGTAGAGGGGCCGAGTTCATTAGGTAATAAAATCAGGGGTTGGGTTGAGATTTCTGCTTAGTCTTGAGCTTAAATTGGGCCTTGATCTAACCAACCAGGCTGGGCTGAGATGTTTGCGTATTCTTGACCTTATATTGGGCCTTAGTCTTACCAACCAGCCCAACTAAGTTTGAGCAGGGCATGTAGCCCTAGGTGATCACCTAATTGAGCTTATATTCGATCAAATTCAAATCGAATTGAATATTTAAATATTTAATTTGATTTAAATTTAAATATTAATTTCTAATATCTGTTAAATATGTAAACTCTAAACAAATTCGAACGTTGATTTTTTAATTAAATTTGAATTCAAATATTATATTGTTTGATTCAATTCAAATTGGTACTTAACGAAACCAAAACCACCTTCCATTCAATATGATGATGAATTTGGGGGTAATACGTATTCGGGTAAAGTTGGGTTGGACATTCTTCTAACAAACAAGTTTAAAGAAATAGGATCAGCTAGCCATATGATGCTACACATAGTGTTAAGCCAAAAGCAAAAGAGTATAAATACATTTTTGTACAGTGCAAAACCTTATATTCTGAATTATTTTATATGTATTTGCACTCTACATATTTGTATTTGTATTCCTTCCAAACTGAGCCTAAATGTTTGAACCCTTATTTTATATATGTTTGGGTTGGTAGAAAATAAGAGAATAGAAAGTAAGGTAGCATTAGTTCCTTGTGCAAATCGTTAACTTACACACTGGTGTCTAGAGAGAACCGGCAAAATTTCTTAT